TGCAGTTCTTGTACAACTAGCAAAACATGTTTCTCTATACTTCTACTTTTCTTACCCAACACAGTTGGTGTTCCTGGTGTGATCTCAACAACTACGGTATTAACAGATGATAGAAGTTGCTCTTGGACTGCTGGGAGGTCAGAGAATTCAGACACTGAAAGAGCATAACTAGGATCGTAGGTAATCTTTTGCAATTCTCTGCTATCAGAGCTCCTTGTTCCAATTGCAAAGATCAACACTCCAAGTTCCTTCAGGGCTGCAGCTGGTGCTTCAACGCTGTCACTAGATCTTCCCCCAGCCAGCACAACAACAATCTGAGGGACACCCTCAGGACGTCTGCTGCCGGCAGATGCAGTAAAGACTCTGTCCTTAACAAACTGAAGGGCTGCCCCAGTGTTCAGTGGCCTTCCTCCTTTGTGTCTAAGGCCTTTCACACTGTTAATGACATCCTCCTTTGTTGAGTATGTATTTAGAAAGAAGTTAGCTGCTGGATCATTACTGTATTGGACTACAGCAACCCGATCTTTGTTTTCATCAACTCGGAGCTTCTCCACCACTCTCTGAACAAAGTCCCGCATTGCTGGGAATCCATTTCTAGTGTAATCAGAGCCATCCAGCAGAAACACAACATCCCTTCTGACGGCATCACCCTCAACTGTGAAATGTTCAGAGTAAAAAACAACGTCAAAACACAGAATTTGGGTTGTTCTACTGCATCAGTTATTTGGCACCATCAAGTGCTGCAAATGACATTCAGAAAGGAAATGCAAAAAACATGTAGTGGAATAACACACCAATTTTGTATTATCGTTATTATCATGAGATTCTACTGACGTTTTGGTCTGAATTAGACCAGAAAAGATTCAGAATATTTTCACCAACTGGAAAAAGAACAATTCAATGTAGACTGAGCAATAACCGACAGAATCATCTCTTCTGATGGTATCGTCTCAACTGTGAAATGTTTAGAGTAAACAATAATTTTTAATTTTGTACTGTGTCACCTGTTTGGTACTATCAAATAGCAAAAATAATATAATTAATGTACTGTATAAAAACTGTAAAAACAACAAGCTATGCATAGTTTTTTTACTGTGGTATTTTTATATTGATGTGGTTAAAAAAAGTAAATTTTAAACATGATAAATTGGTAAAATGGCACTAATCAATTCTAACATCTACAAATTAGTGTAAAAATAAATTCATTGTTATGTTGCAGGTATTCTACCATTCTGACTTCATGAGTCAATGTAGTATAAATTGGCTATTTTTAAGTGATTCAGTGTCTATTTTTTTATTTTTTAGTAAAGTGATTTTAATCATTCTCATTTTAAGTGTTAAAAACAAACAGTACCCACATTCTTTTATTTAATCTGAGTGTAAAGTGAACTTTTAATGCAAACTGTACTACTGCCTCAGGATTTGCTACAAAAATGAGTGTTAGATATATATACTGTACAGTATAAATGTGTATGTGATTTGTAAAATGCAATTTTAACTCCACTCCATAAATCTCACTCGTCTTTTTCTTCTTTGGTGATCTTAGTTACATCTGCCTATAGTTTAATTCAAAATGCTTGGACTATAGAGTTTAGTCTGCACTTTACCCAGAAACCTTTTTCTGGAATTATTAAGAAGAATAATATGATGTTTGAATAATGCCTCTTATATTAAACTTTAGTGTTATACTGTAGATAGTGTTATATATCTTTAATTGCTTTTCAGTAATTATTTCATTATTTTTTGAAAGTAAATGCTAACACACTCAACTTGAGTCATCAAGTATAGTTTTCCTTACCTATGATATAAGGGAATTCTTTCTTTTGTTGCAGGATTCCTCTTTTCAGAATTGAAAAGAGCTGTTGCTGTATGCTTTCAAGACGGTCAAAATCAGAAACAGACAATGTGAAACCAGGTTTGTACGAAATAGCTTCCATTTCTTGTGTGTCTGCATTTCCAATACCAATACCAAAAGACACAATAGTGCTATTTCTCAAAGAAGCTGCTGGCCTTTTAACATCATCTCTGGACTTTCCACCAGACAGCAGAATTAATATCTGAGGAACACCTTCAAGACGTCTGCTACCAGCAGAAGCAGTAAACACATGATCCCTAACAAACTGCAGAGCTGCCCCAGTGTTGAGCGGTCTTCCTCCTTTGTGCTTCAGGAGCTTGATTGACTTTAAAGTATCGTCTTTCTTTAAAAATGAATTTAGGTAGAAATTTGCCACGGCTGTATTGCTGTATTGGATAACAGCAACTCGATCTTTGTTTTCTTCCACATCAAGACCGTCCACTATTCTCTGAACAAAGTCACGCATTGCTGGGAATCCATTTCTGCTATTATCAGACCCATCAAGTAGAAATACAACATCCCTCCGTGCAGCTTCAGTCTCCACTAAAAATGTACAGGAGCAAAAGGTAATTAAATGAACTTAGTTATTCATTTGTTCTAGTGGTAAAATATATTTCAGATTAATAATATACAAAAGCCAGTTTATAACTGATGTTTTATATTACTCTTAATTTTAAAAGTGGTCAATTTAAAATTCTATATCCTTACCTATTATTTTAGGTACTTCCTGGGACCTCTGATGAGCCACTCTTGTCACTAGTTTCTGTTGAATTCTAAAAAGCTCATCAAATTCAGTGACTGAGAAAGCATAGCTAGGTTGGAATGAAATTGTCTGTAGTTCAACAGGATCCATGTTTCTTGTTCCAATAACAAAAAGCACAACCCCCAGCCTTTTTAGAGCATTGGCGGGGCCTCTTAGAGCATCTTTTGATCTACCGCCGGTCAGAAGTATTAAAATCTGAGGAACACCCTCAAGACGTCTACTTCCAGTGTTTGGGATAAAGACATTGTCCTTAACAAACTGGAGAGCTGCTCCAGTGTAATGGGGTCTACCCCCTTTGGGTTTTAGTTGTCTGACTGCATTGAGCACACTTTCTTTTGTTGAGTGAGTATTCAGGTAAAAATTAGCAAGTGACTCGTTACTGTACTGCACTACAGCAACACGATCTTTGTTTTCCTCCACATCAAATTGTTCCAGGACTCTTAGAACAAAGTCACGGATTGCTGGAAATTTACTTCTAGTATCATCAGTACCATCCAGAAGAAAGACAATGTCTCTTTTTACAGTGGAACTTTCATCTAGGACAAACATTCAAGAAGAAAAAAAACTTAATTACAAAGATATAGACTAAGAATTTTGCCCTACTTTGTGGCAATTCAAACCTACAGATATTCAAGTCTTATCAGTGTGTATAACACACTGCTCCCAGCTCCCAGCTGGGAGGTTCAAACTCTGAGCTCCTTCAAGAAACATGGACAAAATTGTAATTTCATGTATTATACATGTTCTAATTATAAGAAAAATTGGTCTTCCTTACTATTACTCTATGTATAGTACATTATACACTATATGTTGATATACATGTTATATATACTTGTGAATCACTAAAAATATATAAATTAACTTCATAATTCCTCACAACATTGTTATAAAACACACATAAGAGAAAACAAATATGACAAACATTCTTGTGTCTTCAAGAATGAAAACACAATCAACATATTATTTTTAAAATCTGAACAAAACCACTATAGTTTACATCAACGAACATGTTCAAGTAATTTACTATTCCCATCCTTACCTACAAGTACTGGAGGTTCTGGAATCATTTCCCGAGCGCTGCTCATGATATAGGATAGTAATTGTTTCTGTATGTTTTTAAGGTCATCAAAATCAGAAACTGAAAAGGCAAAACTAGGCTCAGAAGATATTGTTTGCAGCTCAAGTGTGTCGGCATTCTTTATTCCAATGCCAAAAGCAAGGATTCCGCTCTCTTTCAGAGCTCCTGCTGGAGCCCTAACATCATCTTTGGACCTTCTACTACTTATTACAAATAAAAACTGAGGAACACCTTCAAGAAGTCTGCTACCAGCAGAAGGTGTAAAGACACTATTCTTCACAAACTGCAGAGCTGCCCCAGTGTTGAGGGGTCTTCCTCCTTTGTATGTTAATCCTCTTAAAGCATTCAGGACATCATCCTTTGTTGAGTACGAGTTCAGGTAGAAATTAACTGCAGGATTATTACTGTACTGGACCACAGAAACTCGATCTTTGTTCTCCTCCACGTTGAGATTCTCTACTATTCTTTCAACAAAACTACGGATTGCTTCAAAGCCAAGTTTAACATCATCGGAGCCATCAAGTAGAAACACAACATCCCTTTTGGTAGATTCTGCATCAACTACAAAGTATATTAAAATATGTGTTACTACATGAAAGAATTTCATAATTCACAGCATGTAATATTTAAAACTCTACTTTTATGAATCAAAACTATATGTCACTAGATCATAGAAGACATTAAAAGTATGTTTTAAAATATGTACAAATCAGATGAGATTAGTTTGATTAATGTACTGTATTTAAGTTCTAAATAAATTTTGTATTTGAACCTTACTCTTTTAAGCAATTACTCTCATATTCTCCTGATCAAATTTAAAGAGCTGTTCAGTTTCTAGAACCAAATAAAACATTTTAACTTCACATTTTCCCGCTAATATAAATGAAAGAAAAAAACGGAAGCCAAAACTTAGTACTCCTCGCAGCTTGGACAATTGTTCCTGTAATGTAGATGAGAATAACTGCCTAGACAGCAGTTCATGTTTTCTTACCTAAAACCAGAGTTGATTCTGTTTCTTTTCGTTGTAGGACACTTTTTGCCAGGGATAAAAGCTGCTGCTCAATAGTTGGAAGATCATTTAAATCAGGAATGGATAATGCATAACTAGGCTCATAGGATATTGTTTGTAGTTCAAGAGTATCAGCACTTCCTGTGCCTATACCCAATGGGATAACCCCGATTCCTTTCAACGCAGTTACTGGTCCTCTTATATCATCTCTGGATCTTCCCCCAGTCAACAGAATTAACATCTGAGGAACACCTTCAAGATGTCTGCTACCAGCAGAAGGTGTAAACACATTATCCTTAACAAACTGCAGAGCTGCCCCAGTGTTGAGGGGTCTTCCTCCTTTCTGTTTCAGGCCTCTTATGGTATTAATGACATCGTCTTTTGTAGAATATGTATTCAGATAGAAGTTAGCTGCTGCGTCATTACTGTACTGGATCACAGCCACGCGATCTCTGCTTTCCTCCACATCAAGGTTTTCCACTACTCTACGGACAAAGTCGCGCATTGCTGGGAATCCGCTCCTGGAGTCATCAGAACCATCCAAGAGGAACACAATGTCCCTTTTTCTAGTGTCTGTTTCAGGCACAAAGGACACGTAAAAGGTGTTATTAGATCTAGCTATAGAAAGTTTTTACATTGAAAAAGGTATTACAAGCAATACTATTCTCCTTTACATGTCAAAAGTGTTATTATGAAATGCATTAAGCTACTGTATGTCAGATTCATTCTTTTGTAAAGATTTTGCTCCATCAACAAAACAATAATTTGTAATAATTGTGCTTTAAGTTTAATTTAAATGACCAATCGCATTTTCTAGAATAGATTGTGCAACTTTTTGTTATATTATGCACCTTATTTCCAATTAATACCTATAATATCTGACTGTTTAACAAGGACAACAGCATCAAAACTAATGGTACCTACAGGTGGCTCCAGATTTGTTTGTTTCCTGGATATACTGTATTATATTGTAAATTAAATTTGGTTTCAGTAAACATAAAGTACTGCAGGTTTACATTCAGTCTATACTGCATAAATAATAAAGCAAAAAAATGCTATAAGTACCAGTGATGGATGACACAATGCATATTAGCCCAAAAATGATAGCATATTTTTCTAAATACACAATGTTCAAATGAAATTACACCCACTAAAATATGTTAAAAAAATTACAATTTAATGGTTTTTAGTCATTTGGTAGTTTCACAAAATAATTTAATAGAGCTTTCCAGCTTGTTTGCCATCGGGAAATTAAGGATGCTACACAGCAGCAAAATGGGTAACAGCAATAAAAAAGCAGAGGTTCCAGTTTTGATTCTAATATTCATTATCTACAAGTTCAATGCTAATGGGATGGTTGCTATCCTACCAGGAAGAGGAAAGACTGACTGAAAGTGCAGTCTGAAGAGTTTGGAAGACCCAAGGGTAAAAAGTCTTAAAATAGCTCTGTTATCATCAGGATACAAAAAGACTTCCATCTGAGCTTAATCTCATGAATTGCAGCAGAGTTCTACAGCAACATAAAATGAAAACTCTCATGGACTTCCAGGTCCAATGGCATCAAGTGATGCAGATGGATGAAAAACAAACTTACTTTTTGGGAAGTCTCATCACTAGTACAGTTTACACAGACAGGTAATGTGCATGTTGAAAAAGAATGCCATCCCTTCTGTCAAATATGGCAGGAGGTCTATTTTGCTGGTGCCCTTGTTAGAATTGAGGAATGGATATATACCCAAATGTTTAAGGAAATGTATTCCTATTTCCTGCTCCTATGAGGCTCAAGCTTGACCATAATAATCTCCAGACCCCAATTCAATACAACAGTTGTGCTATGAAAAGAAAGCTCTTCACAAGCGCAAACCACTGAATCTGAAGGAGAAGCAAAATGTCCTTATAAAGGAATGATCAAAATTCCCTATTGAGAAGGGCCTGAACTTTGTAACACGGGAATAGTGCCTTCTTTGCAGTATCAAAGCCATAGGAAAATTAATAAAATGATTTCCATGGAACAAATAATGTTGAACATTGCATATTAACAAAAGATAATTATTTTGGACATACTGTATTTGTTTTTGCAATATCCAGTACTGATACTCTTACAGTTTTTCACTTACTTATCAACACATACTAAAGGTGTTTCAGTATTTTTTCAGGTATAATGCAAAAATTAATTGTCACATTAAATCACATAACATTATATCAAGCATATAAATACATTTGGAATCAACTATGCACGTTAAATGGCAGATGCACTATGATAAATGTGGTATACAGTATATACAGTAAAAGCCACAGGAGTAGGAAACTAATATGAGTATACTTGCCTGTATACTATACAAAAAAAGGCTCATAATTACTAAAATGTACAATATAAACATTTTCTCTCCCTTTAGCTGTGTTCTGCTTTATTATTTGATGCTTGAAATATGTGAGTGTGATCTTGAAAAGTGTTTTAAGGCTCATTTTAGCAATTAGGCAGTCTGTTCGTTCTGTTAATTCATATTAAAGTTAGCATTCCCTTACCTATCACTGTTGTCGATTCGGGGGACTTCAACTGTGCAGCTCTGGCCATAGCTGTCAAAAGGTGCTGCTGAATGCTTGGAATGTCAGGAAAATCGGGAATAGAGAAAGCATAACGAGGTTCGTGTGAAATTGTTTGTATCTCAAGTGTGTCTGCATTCTTTGTTCCAATCACTAAAGAAACAATTCCAGCTGTTTTCATGACTGTTACAGCACTTCTCACGTCATCTCTGGACCTCCCACCAGTCAGCAGAATTAACAGCTGAGGAACACCTTCAAGACGTCTGCTACCAGCAGAAGCAGCAAACACACTGTCTTTAACAAACTGAAGAGCTGCGCCAGTGTTCAGTGGCCTTCCCCCTTTGTGTTTCAGGCCTTTCACGCTATTAATGACATCCTCCTTTGTTGAGTATGTATTTAGATAGAAGTTAGCTGCTGAATCGTCACTGTACTGGACTACAGCAACTCGATCTTTGCCTTCCTCCACATTGAGCTTCTCCACCACTCTCTGAACAAAGTCTCGCATTGCTGGGAATCCATTTCTAGTGTAATCAGAGCCATCCAGCAGAAACACAACATCTCTTTGTCCAACTTCAGTTTCAACTAGGAAGCACATTAACACAGATTAATGAATTTCTCTGTACAAAATCTGCATTAGATTGCATGTTTTGAAAATGTGACTTTAGACATGTAAATTACTGAAGTAATTGTTTCTGTTTATTACAAATAATGGATTGTATAGGGATTAGTATTTCCTTTATTTGTGATTTCAGGTTTATTAATAAGCCTGGAATGTTTGGATCATCCTTTAAATACATATGTGGCTTTCACTTAAAATATGTGAATATAGTAATATAAGCACTGCCAGGTATATATTTGAAACTGAATGTGCTGTAAACTGTACCATTATTGTTTCTAAAACACAGTTATTTAGATTTGTCACTTGTTAGAAATGTTTGCATTCTAAACTATACATTGTAGAATAGAAGAATGTCCTAGAACTATCTTACATTGTGATTTTGAGGAAAAATAATGAGAATTCAGCAGCAATTTATTTCATTATATAAATTGATATTAATTCAATATGCAGGTATTTATAGAACTAACATTTAATGATGCCCTATTATTTTGAATTATTAATTAAAAATGACAACATTGATAGACTAACAACAAAAAAAAACAATGTAATAAATTTAATCAAATTACCTTACTATAATTTGTACAAATGTGTGTAAGATAAGGTGATTTCTGACAAGGTTTGGCTGTAGGCTGACTTGAAGGAGAAAGTAATAATAAATTTGGCTAAGGAAGAAAAACAGCTATTTCATGTTGTCTGCGATTCCTTATTCAAAACATTGTTTAATTCACAGTAGTTTAGTATTCAACATAAGTAATAAGGAATAGGTTGCTAAATGAACATGCAATTGTATGTGTATTTCATGTGAACCTATAACATGTAAATGTAGTCTTGGACTACAGTATTTTAATTTTATTCATTCTTAAAACCTTAGTCTAAAAAACCTGAACCACCTTTTTGCTTACCTATAACTGTTGGCTGTTGTGGCCTCTGTTGTGGAGAAACTGTTTTTATCATGGATAAAAATTGATTCTGAATACTCTTCAGATCATCGAAGTCAGACACAAACAAAGCAAAATCAGGAACGTGAGAGACTGTCTGTAGCTCAAGTGTGTCAGCATTCCGTATTCCAATACTGAAGGGCACAATTCCAGCACCTTTTATCTCAAGTACTGAACTTAGAATGTCATCACTGGACCTTCCACCACTTATCAGGATCAACATTTGTGGAACACCTTCAAGACGTCTGCTACCAGCAGAAGGTGTAAGCACATTATCCTTAACAAACCGCAGAGCTGCCCCAGTGTTGAGCGGTCTTCCTCCTTTGTGTCTCAGGCCTCTTATGGTATTAATGACATCCTCCTTTGTCGTATATGTATTCAGATAGAAGTTAGCTGTTGCGTCATTACTGTACTGGATCACAGCAACTCTGTCTTTGTTTCCCTCCACATTGAGGTTCTCCACTACTCTCTGAACAAAGTCGCGCATTGCTGGGAATCCATTTCTAGTGTCGTCAGAACCATCCAGCAGAAATACGACATCCCTTTCTGCTGTGTCTACTTCAACTAGGACACACATTAAACAGATATATAATTAATAATACTGAAATCAAAACTGGGTTAATTTACAGTGAGTAATTTCTAATGACGTACAGTACAAGCCATTCGCATATGCTGTTTAGGCATGATTTAGTGTGAGGTCAGCAAAGACTGAATAATACTATACTATTCAGTCATTAGTAAGCCTTAATGATATGCTACTCATTGTATTGTATTACTCTAAGAGAACGTGTTTGTGTGTATGAATATCTGAACTATAATATATCATATGGAAATTAGATATGCATACACGTGAGGTTGTGACAAATTCATTGCTCTGTAAAATACGTCATGTTTTGGGCCAAAACTCAAATACTATACAGGTATCTGTATACTATACAAAGGTATCTTTGTAGGAAAACTGATAAATCTGGCATGTCTGTTAACTCACATAAACAGCAGTAAATCTTGTATATGGCATTACATCAATGAACTTGTGTTTATACACACATGATTCCATGAACATTTGTTTTATCTACTTTTGTCTAAGTATGGTGGTACACTATAGTTCAAAGCACTAAAATTCACTTTGTTAGTGAAACAAAAGGAAATCATCAAGTCAAAAAAGTAGAATCAAAATCTAACCTTTTTACAAATACAATCATTTTTCTTTTTGTAATCTGATATAACTAGGGTTAAATGGTAATGATATAAATTATTTCTATTATTTTCTTCATCTGTAATTCAGTAAACATCTTTGAATGTGCAAAAAGAAGACATACTGTAATTTGCCGAATCAAAGCTTCATAATAGAACATGATCAGACATAACACAAAGAAAATTAAGTGATCGGCAATATTGATGCAATAACACCCAACCACAAACATCAACTCTTGCATTAAAATAAAATATTAAAAATGTTGAAATGGATAAAATGTCATTAGTCACCACTACAGTAAAGTCCCAAAGAGAAACATACTGTAAGTTGAAAACAGACTTCATTGTGAAAGAAGCAAGAAATAGCCAATGAAGTCAAAATTCTTCTAGTGATAAGAGGTTCTGGGAACGCAGAGAGAACACACAATGATACAGAAATCATTGGCTCAAGAAAGAGCAAAAAGCACAATAGTGCACAAAAGTATTCTCCACAGAAACCTGTGATGATTACAGTTTAAGAACCAGAAAAGAAGAGATAGTAATATATATAGCCAAAAAAGACTAGGCTAAGAAGCCATTTAGATAAACAAAACAATAAACACTCAGGCTTATTTTTTGTTTATTTAACAGAAGATTATGGATACTAGAAAATATCCATTTTCGCAAAAGTCAGGCTCTGATTTTCCATACAAAATGAGATAACGAAACTAATCTTAACTGTTGTTTTCTTCTTTAAAAGAATGAAAGTTTCACTAACTTTAAAGACCTGTGAATAGATCCCTTCATTTTATTATTTTTATCAAGGTAACCATGCATGGTTTCTTACCCACAGTAGTCGGAGATTCAGTTTCCAATTTGGATTTAATGAAGGACAAAACCTGTGGCTGAATGGATAAGAGTTCACCAAAGAAAGGAAGATTGAAAAGAAAACTAGGAGAATATGAAATGGTTTGCAGCTCAGTTTCATTTGCATCTTTCATTCCAATGGCGAAAGAAAGAACTCCAAGTCTTTTCAAAGCAGTCGCTTCACCCCTAACATCATCTTGGGAGCTTTTCCCTGTCAGGAGAATTAATATCTGAGGAACACCTTCAAGACGTCTGCTACCAGCAGAAGGAGTAAAGACATTGTCCTTAACAAACTGGAGAGCTGCCCCAGTGTTGAGGGGTCTTCCCCCTTTATGTCTCAGGCTTCTTACTGCATAGACAACAGCTTTCTTGGTTTTATGAGTCTTTAGGTAAAAATATGGTGACGGGTCATTGCTATACTGGACAACTGCAACCCGGACTTTATCCTCTTCAATGTCAAGGTTTTCCACCATCCTTCGAACAAATTCTCGGATTGCAGGCAATCCATTTCTAGAGTCATCAGAACCATCAAGAAGAAACACCACATCTCTTTTAAAGCCTTCTGTATCAACTAGGATACATAATAGAAAGGAAGCAGGATGTCAGGCAGGAAAATTCAACATGCTCAAACTTGGAGATTTAAAAGTATTCATAAGATAATTATAATGGAGAAGGGACTCTTGTTGGCATGGTTATTGCCAAACTGCACACATTTATACTGACTTTTCCTTTACTTTACAATATTGCATTATATATCAATTTGGCTAATAATATTTTAAGCTATAAAAAGATTCCTAACAAAATATAGGAAATTACATGTCTCCTTACAAGGAGATATTCAACTTTGCACTTAATTTCAAAATAAAAATAAAGCGTATCAAAGTGGAGAAATGAACCAAGCAAACATTGTTTGTCTTAGGGAAAATGCAATGTCCTTTTAAGAATATAAACTACTTTGGCATATGCCAGTTAAGATTAATAGCATCCATTCTTGATGGATATTCTTACCCATTTGCAAAAAGTACTAGTATGCTTAATTGTGTGACTAAATGTCATTACATTATTTTTTGTTATGCTGACAGAATGCAATTTTGTCAATGTTTTAAACAATGCAATAAAGAACAGAAAACATGGAATCTGTAGAAAGAACAAATTTAAAAGCAGGGGTCAAATGTTGCATTAAGAAAACAAAAGTGTTAGATGAACAAACAACCCAATCCTTTGGAAAGAAAAATGGATGACTCAAAAGGTCATCCAGAGAGGAAAAATGGATTAAAAGAAACATCCCAGGATCAAAGCAGGGCAAAACAGATCAAAACAGAATGCATACTGTATGTAAAGGTATAAGAATCCAGTCACAGATTCCATGGAGATGAAGAATAGGTCGTAAATCAGTTGTTTGTTCTATATTGAAAAAGATTTTAAATGCATATATACTGTATATATGCTGCATATATACACATGTACACATAGTATATGTATACTCACATATATATATACACAACATTTACATGTTTGTGTACACAGTGTACATGGTGCCTACTGTACATTAGTTAATCTGAAAAGCTAAAAGGAGAAAAGTCTGCAAAGCAAAATTTAGGATTCCAACATCCTGAAAGTAAGAACATTGTACATCTTAGAAAATGTTGCCATTGTTGTTACTGTATGTGATTTATCGGTATAAGTAACTACAGTACATATGAATATTATACATTTGAATAGCATATAATTACTGTACTGTTCAAGACTTGAAAACCATGCTTTAGTCCTTACCTACAACCTCGGGACTTTCAGGGATCACAGTATCATCTGTACCTCTGGAAACACTTTTAACTGTGGACACAAGCTGCTGATGGACTGACTGAAGGTCAGACAACTCGGGGACCGGGTACACATAATTGGGAGCGTAGGCAATAACTTCCAGTTCACGTGGATCTGCATTGCTCACACCAATACCAAATGGAACAACTCCAAGCCCTTTAAGAGCAGATGCAGGGCCTCTAACATCATCTGTGGACCTTCCACTTGTCAGGAATATTAATATCTGAGGGATGCGCTCCAAATGTCTGCTGCCACCAGAAGCAGTAAAGACATGGTCCCTAACAAACCGGAGAGCTGCCCCAGTGTTCAAGGGTCTCCCTCCTTTATGGCTTAGACGTCTTATGGTATTAATGACATCCTCCTTTGTTGAGTATGAATTTAGATAGAAGTTAACTACTGGAAAATTACTGTACTGGATCACAGCAACTCGGTCTTTGCTTTCCTCCACATTGAGGTTCTCCACTACTCTTTCAACAAATTCCTGTATTGCTGGGAATCCATTATAAGTGCCATCAGAGCCATCCAGTAGAAACACAACATCCCTTTTCAATTCTGTATAACATAAGGTATGATAAACAAAAGACTTGTAAGACAAACGCTGTATTTTAGGAGCTGATTGCCAACATTGCTGAAAAACAGTCTTTTTCAGGCTTCTACTAGATTCAACACAAAATCTATCAAATAAAAGTGTACTTACCTTGGCTTAAAATGTCAATTAGTTTTTCTCTTGGGAGGGAGACGTAGTATGAAAGTCGTTCTTGAATTTGGTTGAGTTCATTGAAGCCAGCAGCCAAGAAAGTGAAGGAAGGATTGTGTGAAATTGCTTCTATCTGACTACGATCTGCATTCTTCACTCCAATGCCAAAGGGCACAACTCCAGCTGTCTTTAGGGAGCTAGCAGGGGCTCTAACATTATCTCTAGATTGTCCTGTAGACAAAACTATCAAAATCTGGGGAACATTTTCTGAAATCCGGCTGCCATGAACTGGTGTTAATATGGTTTCTTTCACAAAGGTCAGAGCCGCACCAGTGTTCAGAGTCCGACCACCTCCTAGCCTGAGAGCATTAACAGCACCAGCAACCTGCTCTTTCGTGGTGTACGAGTTCAGGTAGAATTCAGGTTTTGGCTTCTCACTGTACTGGACCACAGAAATCCGCACTTTATCACTTCCAACGTCAAGAGCACTGACGACTTTTAAGATGAAATCTCGGATATAGGGGAAATCAGCTCCAGCGCCATCAGAGCCATCTACCAGGAACACGACATCTTTCTTTTCTGCAAAAAAAAAAGTTACATTTTCAATTACACATTACACAAACCCTTGTGTAAAAACTTTTGTTTTTCTACATTTACCCTTGGGAATTGTCCAGGAATATTGACACCTTAAGAATGGGGACAACTGAAGAGATGTGAGAAGTTTTAAAATTCTCCCGTGAATGCAATAACGAGCTGATTTAAGTTGTTAAGAGCTCAGTTTAAATAAACACCTCCTTAGAGCAGAATTCTGATTAAAAAAGGGTAGCTGAATATATTTTACTGTATCTTTTCCTTTAACACTAAATCTTTGATATTTAATGTATGAAACATCAACAAGTAGGGTATTGTATTGGACAGTTTGACAAAATAGAAAACCAAGCTTTAGCAGATCAGTAAGTCCCTGCAAATTAATCATGTATTCTCTAAGTTCTACAGGGGGTTAGGTAATCTATGCATAAATCAGATGGTATGATTGTTTATACATTAATTACATTAAGATTACAGAATGTCATAATATTCTGAGGATTAAGGATGGCTACTGTAATATCCAAATCATGCATGCCCTGTTGTCTGGGATACCCCACTTACAAATCACACACCACTAACTACGTGTGGAAGTAATAAGATTCAGTATACAGTACTGTATGTCAGCATTAATGGCAAATGTCAAATTAACATATAGACTGAGGAGAAGACAATCAAACCAGGAGAGGAATTCTGACAAGAACAGACACTATTAATTTCTATAATATGAAGCAATAAATTGAAAGAAAGAGCGAAAATCATCTTAAAAGGAATGACCTTGCTTTAGTGGGTGGTACATGAGTGCTATTATTAATGGCTCAGAAGGGAATATTTAAAAAACTACTTTTTTAAAGTCTTAAAATGAATAAGAATTGAAGGAAATGAAATGAATATTTCAAGGCAAAGAGTATGGGCTACATAACAACACTAAGACGATGTACACATGAGTCTATAAGAAACCAAACCCCTGGGTTATGATTTTGATCACAAATATTAATATCAGATATTAATATTCCTCACAATCCATGAATAGAAGCCATTTTGTAAGTGTAATATTTCACTTAAAATAACAAATACTTCATAATGTAATAATCAAAACTGGTCTATATGTCTTTGTACTGTATATAACTTAATAAGAAAGAAGTTAAAATATGTGTTAAAATACAGTATGTGCTACAGAAAGTTAAAAGGCAAAGAAATTTCAAAAGACAGCAATCACGGTATGTACTATACTGTATGTCAAATTTCAATGCAGTTTCAACTTGCATATTTGTCAGAAAACAATTGGGCCTCTTTTTTTCACATAAGAATTTAAAAATGAATAAAAGAAAGAAAATGAAACAAAATTTGCTCACCTGTAACACTCACATCACCAACCACTGTAATCAGGGGAGTCATAATCTGTGACACAATATTCGGTAGTCCAGAAAAGCTGTACTCGTAGTAGGCCAACTGAGGAACAAAGGCAGCTGTCTCCAGGAAGGCTCTGTCTGCACGTTCTGCTCCCACAGCATAGGTCAGTATGTTGTTGACTGCTAAGAGGTCAGCCACACGTTTTACCTCATCTTGAGATACACCACCAGTAATAAGCACTATGACTTGTTGAACACCTTGATTCTTCCTTGATCCAGCTGTGGGCTGAAAGTGATTTTTAAGGGTGAATTCAAGTGCTGCACCAGTTTTTAAAGATGTTCCTCCTATCAGGCTGAGACGAGCAATACTTTCAAGGACTTCTTGTTGCGTGGAATAGGTGTTCAAGTAGAACTCAGTTTGTGGAGTATCGCTGAACTGCAGCAAACCAATTCTAACTCTCTCTGGATGCACGTCAAGCCTTCTCACTATTTCAGAGATGAAATCACGCACATATGGGAGGTTGGTGTCTCCAACATAGCTTGACCCATCCACAAGGAAGACGATGTCTCGAACAACTCTCAGGGTTTCTACTGTGGTTACTATAACACCTGTAGAGATGGAGAATCACAGTTTAAAAGCTGGAAGTGTAGAAAAGCACATACTGTAGGATTATATACTGTATTTTTTTAGAAAACCTATAAAGAAACTTTTAATGAAGCAGATTATTTCTATTTATAGAATAATAGGAAGCCAAGGTTTATTTTTAGAATTAATAAACTGCCGAGGTTATATAATGTAAATCCCTTAAAGTCCAGCAATATATAACATTAAATTCCCAAAGATTTAAGTATTAAAGTGACACACTTCAATTTCATGCAACATTAAAAAAAGCTGGGATAAAGTCTACTACTTTAAGTTTGATCATCATGTATGTTATTTATTCCAAAACCAGCCAATACATTTTATACAGACCAATACAGATTAGTAGACTGGAAAGATTAATAGTAATCTTGGGCAACAAACCTGTAGGTGTCTCCTCAGGTAAAACTCCAGATAGCGTTGTTAATGGTGAAACAAGCTTCTCTGGATTTCTAGACAGCACACGGAAATCCTTATAAATAAAGACCATGCTCTCATCAAAAGCAATCTTTTTAAGTTCCTGTTCATCAGCATTCTTGCCTCCAGCAGCCACAGTCAGAACACTCATTTTCTTAAGTTCTTCCACCTGACTAAGAAAACTATCAGACGATGCTTTAGCTGAGAACAACATCAGCAGCTGAGGCACTCTTTCCAGGGCTCGGCTCCCCTTCTCTGGGACAAACATCCTGGTTCTGACGAATTCCAGCGCAGCTCCGATGTTCACTGCCTGCCTTCCTCCCCTTATTTTTATTCTGTTCAGTGCATTCAACATTGATTCTTTGGTTTCATGGGTGTTCAGATCAAACTCTAACTTAACATTCTGGGCATACTGGGCCACACCGATCTGTACCTTATCAGGTCCGATTGGCAATGTGCTAACAAACTTTTTAATAAATTCACGGATCGCCATGAAGTTGGTGCCACCCATATTCTGGGTCCCATCTATCAGGAAAATAATGTCCCTCGGTTCAACAACCAAAGCTGCAAAAAGGAAAATACAGTTTATTTATATATATATAACAAATATTTATGTAAGCAAATATTAAATCACTATAAGTTTAAAAATGTTTAAAATTTTATACCATGGTCACAGCATAATCACATGTGTAATTAAAATGCACTAGTATATTATATAATTATAAAATATAAATATGTATATTTTATATATAAATATTAAAATGCTCATTTTGGACAGCCATAATAAAAAAATATTTTTACCCACTAAAACAAGTTGTAATGAGAATAATATGCCTGAAGTCATTTCAGTTTGTCTTTACTATACTAGAATGAATAGACATTACACATAAACAATAAAAAGACAACATAAAAAATACATTAGAGATAATAGTTATTTAACTACAGTAAATGGAACAGAGAAATACTGTTCATTCAAATGCAGGATTTCTGTTTGCCACTGTATTCTTTATGTGCAAAAGACTATATCATTCACTTATTTCTGAAATACCATTAATGATAAAATTAAAGTTTAATAATTGCTTTTTAAGCCCTTATAATTGCTTTCTAAGTTTCTAATTTGCTAAAGAAACTATTGCTATTTTGTGATTCTGCAAAATAATACCAATATACATAACTGCTATCAGAATTTCATTAATACAGAATGAATTCAATTATGCAATATTGTTCTAAATATACACATTTATCTCTGTACAAACACAACACTGACATAGGACATGAAGTCAAGAAACATGTAACCAAAACTAGGGCAAAAAAAAGAAAGGTAGATGAAAAAGTATGAATTTCAGTAAGGACTGATGTTCTCTGCATCCAACCCTTCCTAAAATCTCATTCGAGAGAACTTGACTATTTAGCACACAATTCATATCAATACCGTCTCAACTTTTACTTTGAAATATTACCTTTGTAGTAAGTTCTGTACTGTAAACAAAAACTACTACTACATTACAAAGGCAAAAACAAAATTTAAAATTGGCCTTTGTAATCTTTAAACTGTCACTCCATTAAAGTTGATTATGTCATCAGTACATTATCTTGTAAGTTATCTATACTGAGAAGTATATATCGAGGACCACGTAAAATGCTAAAGACTACTAGCGAAAATAACATTTTAAATATTTACTTTTTTTTAAATGGCAACATTAAAAAATTAAGAAACATATTGTTTCATAAGGGACTTAATTTCATCTGAATGCCCAGACATTCTGTGTGAACTGAGTGAAATTTATGTTATAAGCTCATCCTTTTGGGTCAAGCTGGTCAAACCTTTTTTTGGCAATGGAATTAGAAGTCTAAACTAAGGTATATGAAACTGGCAAAGACACAGTTCAGCTGCATTTATTCATACAATGAATAACTGCCCAACTAAGGCTCCCCGGTGCGGTCATCTTCCTTTCACCAATTTCACAATATGCCAATAACCACAGAGGCTAATAGGAGAAACCAGCTTTTATTTCCCTAAATAAAACATTTTATTTAAGCCCTCACTGATAGTGTATGATATATCAGAAAATAAACTGTGGAATAATTAGAACAGGTGCTAATTCACTGAAGTGCACTGGCATAGTAGATCCACCCTGTGATAAATGAAGTCAAGTTTAACACATTAGAAAGGCTTGTATTCAGATTTACATCTTTAGTTGTTTGCTTTTACCTGACCACAGTTTTTATTTACATACCTTCTATAATCTCGGACTGTAAAACAATGGTTCGTTGAGCCACCCCATAAATGTATGGCAACAGCTGATCCCGCAGTTCACCAATAGTACTGAAACTTGGGGCTGAGAATACAAAGCTTCTGTCCGTGGCAAGATTCTCAAGCTCTGCTTCAACTTCTCCCCCAGCCCCAATGCCAAATGTGAAAATACTAGCTTGCTTTAAGGCTTTTTCTGCCTCAATGACATCATCGCTGGGTGGCCCAGCACTGATAATCATTAGAGCCTGCGGCACGCCTTCCTCAGCCCTGCTACCTGCTTCAGGTATGAATATGTTTTGGACCACACTTTCAACAGCTGCCCCCAGGTTAGCTTCATTTCCACCTTTGAAGCTAAGCCCCTTCACAGCGTCCAGAATGTCCGTTTTGGTGTCATAACTATTTAAATAGAACATAATCTGGACATCTTCGCTATACTGAACCACAGCAATTCTTACTGCATCACTTCCCACATCAAGGTTTTCAATGATATTTAGAACCAAATCACGGACACTTGGAAAGTTGGCAGCTCCAACGTTCTCTGATCCGTCAATTAAGAATATAAGGTCAGCCGACTCTTGTGCTTTAAGGAGAGAAAAAACAAACAGAAAAATGCAAAATGTGAAAGCGTTAAAAAAAGAGATCACATGCAGCCACATAATGTCATGTTTCTGTGATAATCAACAAGAAACAAAATGAATCATCAAACATCATTTAATAAGCACATTATTCTGCATTGTAATTGAATTGAGGTTTGGGAAGTAAATAAGGACATAACGCATTTTTGTCTCAAGCAAAAACTCTTACTGTTAAAGTAACGCATTTTAAAAGAATGGATATCAGTGTCCTTTTTTCAGATATTGTGTCGGCTATAAACAATATCACAAAAAAGTGTCTCCACCCTTTCTGGAGCTAATTTTCACAGGTTGAGCCTTACAGCCTGGATGGGGCTGGATCCAACCCACAGTCCTTTAGTGGTCTGTAACAGATATTTCCCCGGTTGCAATGGACCACGTGAAGTTGGCAGCCACTAGGGATGAAGTTGCACGAGCAGTAGTTGTCTAGGCTTTACTGTGCTTGCAGCGCAATAGAAGATTTTGGGCCCTGCCAGGTGCCTGTGAGTTTGAAATGCCATTTAAGAGAGAGATATTGTTCATCCAATGGATTGTGACTCTCTCGTAAGGCACTGTGAAGCTCATAGTCTGATGATACTAAATGACAGGTGGGTGTGTTGGAAGAGTGTGCATATAGTTCCTCATTCTCCCTGTACAGTACAGGGGTTGCAGCAACATACCCAATTGATGAGCAATTGCTTATTCAGAAAAAAAGTGTGGATACAAACTATAATGCAATGTATAAAACATGCAAAAAAACAAACAAACAAACAAACATACCCATCAGATTAAACATGAGAATTTAAAATGTCATTGTCATATATTTTGTATGGTATAATTAGAATGTACTTACTGTATGTATTTGGAAATGCATAGTATGATGTTTGCAACGAAAATGCTGTAATTCTGTGAAATGTATTGTTTAACTTCTCATCAAAATAAAATTACCATCTGATAATATTAAATGGAATTTTAACAAAGTCAGCAAAATGTTTATTGTGGATTTAGATAGACTCTCCAACCTCTATAATTCAATTAGACAATGCAGACCCATGTTACTGAACCCAGTGATCAAATGACCAGTCATGACTCAATTTATCATCCTTGTTGCCAGAAAACTGTTGTAGTGTGTACGTCACACTTAAAAGAAAGTATGAAATGTAATTTTATATTTAATGATAAAAAGGTGTAACAGAGAAAATTGTTTTTTAAAGGCCAATTTAAAAAAAAATTATGAAAGCATCTCATCAGAAAACATGTTAACATATTTTTTTCTGTTTCTTAAACTGCTTAATTAACAGTGGTAGTTAAACACTGGTAGTTTATATGACTTTATATAGTGTTGAATCAAAGTGCATGACGTTGCTTATTCATGTCTTTCTGCACTTGATTTTGGTCAAGTATGTTCAATTTAAAATTTACATCTTATGTATTTCTGTACAAAATATAAGTTGGAAGCAGACCAAGGATGGACCAAATTGTTCATCACTGTTTAAAAAATATAAACAATACACACATTTTATTCTACACGTATGAAAAAGCTGGTGATTACACACAAGACATATAACACTGAAACATATTAGCTGCAGTGGAAGGTTAGACATAGTTAAAAGGCAATGAACATGAGGTCTTAATCCCTGGAGACCAGAAGTAAGTCATCTTTTGCATACCGTACTGTCAGGTTGTAAACGTTTTGAGAAATGTAACGATTTCATGTTCATTTAACTGTATATGTTGGGGCCCCAGCTGTTTTGCATAAGTAATTCTTGCATTTTGTGTAGGACTGCTAAACTAATTAAACATAACACTAAACAATCATATGGAATATGATGTATGGCAGTATTTAAAAAAATGTTACACTAAAGGTCTGGACTCCTAATGGAAAGGTGGGCAGAAAGTTGCATTTTTTCCACAGGAAATTTGACTTACTCCATACAATTGTAAACAAATGTAATTAGAGGAACTTTATAGACCTGGGCAGTGTATCAACCTGAACTTAAATTACTGTAGTTTTTTTTTATTTTTCCTGTAAATTTCCATCCACTTTTTATAAAGGCATGTGTTTGCTATCTTGACTAGCCAGATGGATATACAATAAATTTCAGGCCTACCACTTGTTTTAATTCGTTATGCCCACAAACATATCTGTGTTCAACATCTATTTTCATTCACCAATGAAATACATAATGAGTTACCTTGAAGTTTAAGAGACGGGAGCTCATTGAATTGTACATCAGCAAAGAAAACAGATGTGATGCAACAGATTCAAAATTGTACAATCGAATCGCCGTATGAAATATATAAAAACGGAGACTAAGATGAATCACATGCGCAAATATGGATGATCATTATGATGGCAGAAAAATGATAAAAACACATAGTGAGGTTAATAGCACAAGTGAATGGTAAATGAATGATTATTATTCATTGTGTTATGCTTTTGAGTTAATAGACTTTAAAAAAAAAACAATTAGTATGGTAATGCCACAGCACTGACAGCTAGCCATTACCTGTCACATCTTTAATTACTCCTTTGGCTTCAGCCAGCGCAGGGGAAGCTGCAGCTGCATAGACATTGCCGACTAATTCTTGTACTATGCCATGCAGGGCAGAAAAAGTGTCTACATTGTACACATGAGTGTCAAAGGGCTTGCTAGCAATCTCCTTGAGTTCCCACTCCACAGCATGTTGCACTCCCACGGCAAACATGTCAACGTTGGCCAATTTGAGGACTGCCGACGGCGGTATGACATCGTCCTGGGAACGCCCGTCGGTCAGAACGATAACGATCTGTGGCACGCCTTCGCTGGCCCTGCTGCCAGCCGCCTCAGTCAGGTGCTTCTTAATCAGATACTCCAGACCCAGGCCGGTTCGCGTACCGCCCCCCAGATAAGGCATACTCCATATGTGGAAGAGAATGTCCTGCTTTGTGGCGTACGTGTTTAATAGGAACTCAGTTTTGGGGGAGCCACTGTACTGCACCAGGGCGAAATTAAAGGCGTCATCCCCTTTGATTAAAGCCTGCACCACACCGTAAAGAAACTCTCTGATGTACTGAAAATTTTCTTTTCCAATGCTCCAAGATGAATCCACTAGAAAGAATATATCTGCAGCCACACCTTTTCTGGCATCTTCAAGAAAGAAAACCAGTTGAGGACTAAGAAAACGGACGGCAAGCCCAATTTTGGCATTATAGAGAGCACAGATTCCTCAATTACTTAATTCCTCAATGTTTTTTTTTAAAGAAACCATTACATGTGGTGGTGCAAGACCAATTATAATGTGTACCAAAACTTAATGAAAAAATACTATTTTTATGACATACTCAAGAGAATATCAGCCCAGAAATTAAGCTTTTTTTAATATAAGATAATTTACAATGAGATATAAGATAATTTCGCCTTTCCCAAATATAATGACAACTACATTTTGATTTATAGAATTGGATGAATTACTGTTGTACTGCATAGTACAGGTGTTTTAATCCTAATAATTGTTGTTTTAATCCTTTAAATATATAGCTTGTTATTTTTGTCATATTATTTTTGTCATATTTAAGCATTTGATTATTAGCAAAATTAATTTAAAACTAGCTCTAAGTCTCCACAGCACTCTCAGAGAACCTAAGAGCACAAGCATAATAAAAATACAATTCAGCACTCCATCATATTTACATTATCACAAAGGAGCTGCTCATATAAACATTTACTTATGCAGTCATGCCAATGAGCTGCTTGTATGAAACTATCTAATGTTTTCATATTTTCTTTGTACTGACATTTCTCTATTTTCAAGAACCAGATACAGTAGGTGCATTTGTACAGCTGCTGCCAATATAACTATTGCATTTAAAGCAAATGTTGATATACTGTACAGTACATAATATACAAAATTAGTCTGCTTTCTATTCAACATATTGCTACAGTATGAGTTGAAAGATAATGGTCTGTAGGAAAAAAAGTAACGCAGAACTCTTAATACACCATATTTGTAATGGTTACTTTAAAAGATAACTTGCATCTTAGATCCTCCTCCACTCCAAACTGAACTTGACATTTATTATTCTGTGTGAGTCTATAACTGGACTTTGCTAGACAATAGAACTAACTTTTTCTCATCATTAAATTGCTGTTATTTGGATCAGCCTTACTAGACACAAAAACAAAATGACTTATAACACAAACATAAGGAAACTCATATTTAATCACCTGAATACTGTGTTCTTTATGTTAATTCTTCACATTTAGATAAAACATGCAAAAATAGATAAAATCCCCCATACAGACCTACTGTACTATATAAAAACACAGTTTTGTATAACAGCATTGCTGAAAAACCTGTAAAGCATGATGCAGTGACTCAGTTTTCATTCAGATTTGTGAATTTAGTTTGCCAGAATTTATGGGTTTCGTGCCTGCAATACTGTACAGTAATACACATTCATTCATCCATACTAATAATACTGCCCCCCAGCTATTTGTTATGAAAACATTAATAAAATTCCAAAAGTAAGGATGTAGCAAAATAAAATAGAAAGGTTGAAAACTGCTGCTTTTCCACTGCATTGAAGATCGGGGTTTTTTAGTGCTGTTACAACTACTGGTTTTTGGTATGCACAGATACTAATGACACCAGATTTATCAGGTTTTTGTACTAACACCTACAGACCTGCAAAAAAAAAAAATTATACCAATGCATTAAATCACATTACATGAACTCACCATCCTGAGCTTCGATGATGGAGTGCAAGCCTGAGAACAGAAGACCCAAGAGGGCACACAATGACATGTACCGATGTTTCCTCATTTTCTATCAAAGCACTGGATATCAGTGACCTAGAAATACAGTAAATAAAAAAGCACATATATACTCGAGTCTAATCATTGTTATAAGTACAATACTTCTTATTGGGTTCATAATTTTAACTCAGTTACTGTTTTAACCATTAGAAAGTCTTATTCCATATGATCTCGGCATAATCCGAATGTTGGAGTGCCTTCCCAAATGTGGACACAGGTTGTCTTTAAGAACTACATATTCTTGGGCTTTCAAACACAATGCTTTTAATTTTTTCGTTTTCTCAGAGCAGCTGTCCATGTCTGACTTAATAGAATTAGCTACTCTATATACTGTACATCTATAGCTACATGTAACTAGCTATAATACAGTACATCTACAGTACAGTACAGTACAGTACAGTACAGTACTATGATACAGGTTTTTAAGTGCTTTGTAACTACTTCGCTATCATCTGCACAATTTATTGAAGTAAATTGTTTGCTTCTGAAATAGTATTGTTATTAAAAGATCATTTACCAAAAATGGTTAAATTACCAATTCAATTCAAGCTTTATCGTCCCCTAGGGGAAATTTGTTTTACAGCACAGTGAAACACAACACAATGACAATACACATTATCAAAAGGGATGAGAATACAGCAGTGCTACAGGAGAAAGAAACAAGAGACAAGGGATGAAAGATTTCCTGAGTCTGCTGGTTTTACATCTGGGGGCACAGAGGCATCTCCCAGATGGGAGAAGTGTGAATTCACAATGGAGGGGGTGAGACACACACTCCCTGATACTTTTGTTAGTCACCCTCTGTTTGTGAGGGATGCTTAAATTGATTTGATTATTCCTGATTATTTTGCAATTATATTCACTAATTTACCCAGCCTATTACAATTACCGGTACTTATATTGCCAAACCTACAAGTGAGAGAGTATGTTAAGACACTTTCAATGAACGATTTGTAGAAAAGTATAAGAATAGTTTTATCCACCTTAAAGTACCTGAGTTTTCTAAGATAGAAGAGTCTCTGCTGGCCTTTTTTATAGATCGCGTCACAACATTTGTCCCATTTTAGGTTTTTGTCAATGACTGGTCAATGACCAGTCCCAAGTACCATGGGACATAGTATGGTTAATTAGACAAATTCCAAGGAAATTATAAACCAATACACAGTCCAGTAAAATGTATACCTTTAACCGTACAAATTGTGTAATAAAAGGGACAGCAATTTGTTATTACTTTTTATTATTTGAAATGGGATCATATTCATTTTTGGAATTTTAGCAGTATTGATATACTTACAGTAAGCCTTCAATGGCACCAATTGTTTACAGTATATTCCAAAATATAACAAAATAACTCTTATTGACAGCAAGTTATTTTAAAATGATTCTCATTAATTCAAAGTTTTATCAGAACCTAGGGTATTTCTTCTAACAGCTATATATTGTGTCTATTTTGTTGATCAACTGCATGATTGACAAACTAGCTACTTAAGGATTTTGGAAAAGCTAAGATATATTTTTATTGCCACCCCTTTACAACAGAATGTACTGTATTTGTTCCTACTGGGTTTTCCTATGTTGTCCTAAGACAGAAACGAAAATCTTTTATTTTTCGTGCATCAGCTGAGACTCCACACACACTGGTGCTATCAGAGAAATAATCACTGAACAGTCAGAGATGATATTGTATAAACTGTGTTTACTGGGTAGAGCGAATTCTTGAAGACAATTAGGCAGACAAAACAGTAAACCTTTCTAAATACAGTATGTTAACAGTGGGTAATAATCATGACTACAGCATGACTTGAAAACCAGTAGGATTCTGCAAAAAAGAATGAATGGATTTCCTGTTTGTATTTAAGTAAACAATTTCAAAAGAGGCTGCCACAAAAAAAATTCTGAACCAGAAAGATCTTTAAAAAGTCTTGCTGTCCCAGTGAACATACTGAAGCACAAGGTCTCCCCCATCTGTTTTACAGACTTTCAGTTAAGCTGACATATTTCTAATTAAATTCCCTTAAATTGTAAGTTTTTCACCAGCAGTAACTGAAATTCTCTTACGCTGTTCTAGTTTATATGGCTCAGCCTTTTTCCATTATGATTTAAATAAAATAATCACAGTCTTTACAATGTATAATTTCACAGGTAATTATAACCTGTACCATGCAATAAGTAGAGTGCTATAATGAACCTATAGAAGAATAGATACAGTGCATCACAACCTATAGAAGACATATAGTACATGAAATACTGTATATCAGATGCAAAGCATGGTAATGCTTTGCATTACCATGTGGCCGGCCTGGTGGCTCCGCGGGCTAAACCATTGGACACTTATAAAGTTCAGAGAGCAGATCGACTCCCGGAGAGTCGTGTGAGTTCAATTTTTTACATCAATTTCCCTACGGGATTAATAAAGTATTATCTATCTATCTAATATGATTACAAATAATAAAATGAACTATAATTAAGCACAAATTTACAGAAAGATAATTCTCCAGTAGACACTGAGCAGGGACAACTGCTGGGATCAAGGCTGACAGGACATACAGTAGGACACATTTTACCACAAAGGAGGTAGGGAAGAGAAAAGGCCACAGTAGAGGAGAACGTCAGAGAGATCTGGAAGGAGTTTAAAGAGAATCAGGCAATTGGACATCGGCCCAAAGCCATGGAAAGAGAGAAAGGAAAGGAATCATGAACTGGATGTGTGCCGAGAGGGAGCCAGTGGAGACAGACAGATAAGACTTTATTGATCCCGAAGGGAAATTGATGACCTCTTGGCCTCTTTTCTCCCATTTCCCTCTTCCCCTCTTCTACTGTACCTCAAGTGAGCCATGCTATCCCCTATAGATTAAGCAGGAGAATAAGTGTATTGAGATCAACGTTTATTGTCATTTGTGCTTTTATAAGTTCTTATTAACCAAAGGAAGAGCAAATAATCTGATGGGTGACTCAAGATGACCATTTCTAACCACTTTTTTAGAAAATAAATAATCAAATGATCATTACAAAATGAGAATTTTTTTTTATATATTAATATATAAAGCACAAACATGTAGAAACTATATCTTAACAATATGGTCTGGAGGTCGAGAAACCGTGGTTTTGTTTCCATTGAAAACTAGCCACAAACTAGACAGAAATTAACTGTAAACACACTAATGAAGCAGTACAATACCCACTTGGTCTGTTCTTTCAAAGAAAGCTGTTCCTCATTTTATTACAAATTAAATTAAAACGTGTTTCTAGCACTGCAGCAACTGGCACCATGTTATGTTGTGGGAAGGTATCCATAAAACTCTATATTAACATACAGTAAAACTAGCCAAACAAAATAATTATAACCCCAGGGAAATTCACAGTTACAGATGCCCTCACACACTGTTCTGGCATCAATATAGACAGAAGCCTACAGTATAAACAGTTTACCTCAAGTGAGCCAAGCTATCCCCTATAGATTAAGCAGGAGAATAAGTGTATTGAGATCAATGTTTAGAAATAACAATAAGATGTCCATCTAGCGAAAAATGCAGGAAAATAACAAATAGGCCTCACTTATTTACAATGTACAGTATTTAACCAGTACTCTCCTCATAGCCATTCATGATGTGATAAATCTAGCAAGTGTGTTTAGAAAAACATGTTCCATGGTTATGCAATTTGGAGAAAAGTTGCTCTACTGTTTTCAAGAAGTGTTCTTTTTTATTGAAACACCCTGGGGGCCGAAATGAAGACCATGTTCCAGGTCCACGCCTTTTTATACATTGAAAAGGTTGTTCAGAACCCATCAGCAATGAAAATATTTTGGACATATGCATCAAAAAGCATATGGAAAGAAAATAATGAAAAGAATGAAATTTTGGACTTTAAATTGATTTTCAACTGAAAGAAAACAGCTGAGAAACTGGGCTTCAGTCTGACCTCACCATGATCATTCCGTATGAAATTATAAAAAAGAAACTGTGAAAGACTTCTACAGTATGTCTTTAATGCTATAACTTTCTGTTTTATATATTGTTTACCATTTACCTTCAGGTACTGGATTTAATGTGCTAGCTTGTATACAAATATTTAGGGCATGCCAGAATAGTTATAGTTAAAGCGTAAAACAATGCATATCATTTCACAATGGTTGCTATATAAGAGTGTTTAAATTTCAAATAAAACCAAGCTTCCAAGGCAGAGTTTAGTTTTAAAATTATGGGCTGTGTGCTGTCACTGCGGTCGGAGAAGCCATCTGTTTCTGATCTAATCAGGGTCCTCTAGCAATGAGATGCAGCGCCATCTAGTGACCTTCTAGTTCTAAAATTATATTTTGGCAAGGAAAAATAAACAGCTGAATAACAGCTCTGATTTTGACTTCAAACGTTAGCTCAGTGCTATCCTAAACCTGCTTTCCTTGTAAAGGTGCCTACAAGATGCTTGGTAAGCTCTTCGCATCCAGGAATATGGCCATACCAAGCCGAAACAAGCAGATAAATGCACCAATGATTTTGGATGAGAGGGCGGTGTGACTGGTTAGTATCTCTGCCTTATAGCACTGGGGACCTGGGTTCGAATCCTGGGGTGCTATCTGTGTGGTGTTTTGTATGTTCTCCCTGTGTTCCCGTGAGTTTCCTCCCATAGTCCAACAACATACTTGTAGGTAAATTGACTTCCTGGATAACTGGCCCTGGTGTGAGTGTATGTTTTTATATTGTATCTGTGTGTGCCCTGTGATGGGTGGGTTCCAGATATGCCAGCTGTTTGCCAGAATAGGCTCTGGCTCCCAAGCAATCTTGTAGTGGATCAGGAGTTTAGAAAATGGATTGATGGCTAGAGTATGGATGATCATATAATGCATTTCTAACTGTGCAATAAATGCAAAAACAGGATTAACTGGGAATTTGACTTTTGATTATATGTAAATCTGGTTTCATTTGTTTTTATTTGAAGCCTGAAATTAGAGCTATTCATTACTAAGCATGATGCATTTAATACTGGTGTTTATCTTGACATAACACTGTACCAAGAAAGATGTGGTTGTTGATTTGTGTTTATAACCAGAAAATACTGCCCCTCTTCCAAGTCCCTATGGAGCACTAACATGTAAACAACAAAATGAAACGGCAGCTTTTTTTGTGAGTCCGTCACTTTGTATCTAAATTGTATAAAGTCAATTACCAAGATAATTTTTCAAAGATAATTTATTTTTTCTTTATAATGCTATATTGTCCACGCCCCGGTAAAATACTTTTTAAAATGCTGTGTGAAAGTTCAGAAGTTCCATTTTTTTTGTGTGGCTTTTGCTATCTTCCTAAAATCAGCCTTTGCTTGGAGAAAGTACTTCTCTCTAAAGTACTTCTTATAAATCTGACAGAAGCATAAATTTCCCCCAAAACTATTTAAGTGCTGTTCAGTTTTGCTATGAGCCCAAATTGTAACGATTCAAATGGGTGTCTATGGTATTTATATGAAATATCTATAGTTGCTGAAGTATTTATAATATTATTAAAAGCATCTATAGTATTTATACAGTTGAGATAATTCATAATTCCATTCTTCAACAACAGTATAATAACCTCTGTTATTCATTTTTTTTGTTAAGGAAATATAAGAAAGGAACTCATATGACATGCAATCATTGTTAACTAGCTGAGTAATAAAATATGTTCTACATTTTTATTTAACCACAAAATACTGTTCATCCTCCATCTAATTGTGGAGCAATGACATGCAATCATGACATAAACATGAAAGGGATCCGCAACTTCTCACACAAGCTAGAATTAAAACAATTCAGATTTTTTTAATGACAGTGTCAAAAAGATTCAAAAGTTGATTCTGCATAAACTATGCTAAATAAGCAATATGCAGGTATATCAAAATCACACTGTTACATTGCCACAAATGTTAAAGAAAAATTAATTAACATCATAATATAATTCTCCAACAGTGTACAGTATGTCTGGATTCTTAATAACTGTACATTAAACCACTATTGTTAAACCTTTTTACCAGCATAAGAAGGCTCGTATAAAATTGTGTGGTCAAGAATAAAATCAATGGATATAAAAATTAATTATATATTGAAGGACTAGTGTTTAACTCACAACCCCAACAACACCTTTTGCAGATCAGTGGGGTTCCTCGCACCCAGCAGCAGTCCAAAACTAAGTTTTTACCTTGATGACACATCACCCAAAATTGTGAATTGTTGGTCTAGCATCCAATGATAAAAGCCACTCAGTTATCAAAGCCCCTTTGCAGCTCTAAACTGACAGACCACAGGCATTCAATTAAAGGCTTTAAAACATAGCTATTTAAGACTACAATTTCAATCCCCAGCAATACTGTTTGTCATTATTGTTAATGTTCAAATCTCAGAGAGACAAAATCAACCTCCATCCAACCCCCCACCCCATTGAGCCATCTGGAAATAAGTGCATATGGAATTCATACAGTAATGTCTATTTCTTGTAAGGCTTTAAAATTGACATATTGACAACATCAATGTAATATCAATCCAATGGCAGCCCACAACACAAATTATCACATGAAATGTGATATACAGGGTTGCTAGGTTGAAAAAACAATGAGACAAAATACAGTATGTGCTCCATCTGCTTTGACTGTCTTTGAAATCTCTAGCAATGGCTTCTGAATTGAACACATATCAACCACAGTTATTACTAAATGCAGCTTACAAAATAATTTTTGGCCTTAAAAGAAAAAGAGCATTACTTTTCTACAGGAAATCATAAAAAAAACAGGCTGAATATTCTGAGCCAAACTTATGAAAACAATTTGTTGTCAAATCATCTGAGCTCAAAAAGGTGAGAAAGTAGCCTCACATTCGAGAAAGAAATTAATCTGAGGGACACAAAACCTTAATTGGAATTGACAATGCTAACACTAACCTCTGCGAATTTAAGTACAAGCAGACTCAACAAATGCCAATATGGGACATATCTTTGCAGAATGTTTAAAAGACGTCGATTTGGAGTATCCCTGAAGAAAGGACTAGCATGCCAAATTCCTAATGCTATAACATCTATGATCTACTAAAAGATGAAGAAACTTAAAAATATAATTGTAAATAAACTCTCCCCTTAAAGCTTTTAAAGCAACCACTTGATCTTGTTTGTTTTTTGTTAAGATAAACACATATCTGAGACCATACACATTTCCTTGAAGACAGGAAGATTAGGGGCTAATAGATGTTATCTTTAAGACAAAGGCTGATCCTCTTAAAGATGCTAAAGTATGCCTGGATACGATATTAGGCTCTATTACTCTCCAGTTAGACCCACAAAAGGAAAATCTGACACCAGCACAGAGAATATTTGCACATTTTTCCCAATTTAATTGAAAGACAAATGAACTTTATGTTGCATGACTTTTCTCTGATTGCCATTCCATTCTATCTGACCCTCCCACCTGAGCAATAATAGCTTCTTCTTGTGGTCTCAAACCTTAATCGACTTCTCAAAGTATTGACTTGCTGGGACAGAAAACCCCTTAGCCTCAGCCTCACTAAGACCAATACATTACTCCAGTATGATGAAGTTCAAGAAAACTCAACTGATAAATTCAGAAATCCTTTTGATATCTGTCCCTCATATAAAAAGCTTTAGCAAAACAATGAAAAGGGAAAAAATGCCTTGCTTTATCACAAAAGCTCACATTATTTTGTTTATTGCAAATTCCAAGTATGTTTTTTTAAGTCAACAGCTGCTCTTTCCCTTTCATGCTGTGATTTAAGGGTATAAAATGTGCATTACAGATGAAAGAACCCATCAGTTAAAAACAGAGACAAAAAAAGCAGTTCAGCTAGTCCCACAGCTGGTCTATGTTAGGGAGTCTGACATTTTACAGATGCTAATCCTGGCACAACACTTACTGCATATTGTTCAAATATTGCAAATGTTGCACTTAATAACTCAGGAAAGGGTTCAAATCTCAAATTCATTAAAACAAAAATAAGTTAAAGCTAGGTGCGCATGCGGTTATGATGGATCTTGGCAATATACCAAATTCTTGTCGATTTCTTCATGGAAAAGCAAATCAGCACTGTGAAAGAAGAAAGGTCAAAAACAATTGTTGATAATGTAACAGAATACATGGGATCTTGCTGAAATGATCAAATTCAATTTAATTTGCAGATAGAAAGGAATAAAAAATCTATTTACATTTGTTTATTCCAAATTATTTTCTTGGCAGCATGACAAATCATAGAGCTAGCCCAGGAGCATCTAGGAAATTTTGTTTCCTAATAGAAAAAGATTATCCTACAGTATTGTTAAATAATGCAAAAGGAAACGTGTTGTTTTCATGCCATATTACTCTATTACTCACATTGAAAAATCAATAGCTACTGCTATCTGAGTTTTACTATCTTCAGAAATACATTATATTCAATATACTGTAATTATTATGAATTATATACCAGAGAAAACGTAACCCCTCTTGCAATCCTCCTTTATTATCTTTCTTTTTCAATTACAGTGCAGTTATACAGTACTCTCTTAGCAAAACTACCCTAAACTGAAATTCACACCTAAGAATAAAAGGGCCCTTTTTTAATAATTTAGGCAAAACCCTGCTGTGCTGAAAATTGAGACAAAAGAGAGGCACCACAAACTTGGACAGTCTGTGGCAGTAATATATATCAAAACACAGTCTAATTTACAGTGGCTGTATCTCAATTCTCAATAAATCTGCTGAACCTCAATACAATTTTTTTACATACATAGAGTTACTGTATGTCCACAAAGACTTTCTCAGAGGAAGGAGTGGAAGGGAAAGAAGAGTACTGAACTTGCTGCAAGCACTACATTCAATGAAAACCAACAAAGCTTGTCTAAAATCATTTAAGGATGCTCTTATGTTAATAGCTTTAAAAGCTTTGTAAAAGCTTTAAAGCATTTCGGTATATTTCCAGTTATTTTAGTAGTAAATGCACTAAACCTAGATTATACAGAACTGTATATGCAGGAACTGCAAAGTAAAATCCTGACGAATTGGTTATACAGTCTGTTAATCATGATTGAAATGTTCTGACTCTTTTGATGTTCACAAAAATAAAACAGTTCCAGTTTCTTAGTGCAATTATTATTAATATTATTCTATTTTAAAACTGGGTGGATTGGTTTCTTTTGCAGAGGATTAATTAGAAGGTATCCACAAAATGCGTAGGGGGAAAAAATCTGAAACATTTGAAGTTTCCGTTCGGTTCCAAAATTTCATTAGATGCTTAAACTGTGCTTATGAATATAATAACTATAACATTTATCAGTTCTTCAGAAAATTAAATATAAAAAATATTCGTACAACTTAATGGTTTAGTGCAGCACTGAGACCTGTCGCAGGCACCACTTTTCATGCATTGAAATTTTTAAAATGTGAGCCACTCTTAGCAGTACTTATTTACGTGTTGTTGTGAAATTGTTCTCTATATTTTCTGCCAATGTCTTACAGTGCAGCATAATCAATGCTTCTAAAGACCCCGTGCATTCAGTTATTCAGAAACATTAATCAACACCGACCAGTTATCTATTGCCCCAACTGTATTCAGAAGACACAAACTACCGCCGCACAGTTCAGAAACCAGTTGTCTATCGCTTGGTACCTACAGACCCGTTCACCATTTGCGCAAACAACCCAGTGAAGCGCTCTCAAAGACAACTAACCTACAGTAAAGCTGTACAATTCCATCAGCACTTTGTGTGAAATAAAAAAAATGTATACTTTACAGAATCAGGGAAACATATAACACACCCATGCACAATTTGTAAAATATTAAAAATACCACATCATCTGCTTCCAAACAGCAACCAAACAGCGATAGTTTCTTTTTTTGTGTACTACCAACGAGTTATAGAATTCACCCGGTGAAAAGCACTAACTTACCCTGAGGTAAATTGCTGTGTTCCACAATTTAAAAAACTTTTTATATATTTTTTTTGTCTTTAGGTCATTATTCTCCCAGTTATTTCCCTGTATAGTGGTGCAGCTCCCTGGAGGATAACTGAAGAACGAGATGGTAGAAAGACCAAGCCGAGCCAAAGGAACGGTTGTAACAATTAAGTTAGACCTTCCCGCTAGCTCACGCAAGGAGCTGTGGCTCTAACTTAGGCTAGAGACGGGACAAACTCAAGCGATCCGTGGAACATATCCATTTTTTATTCCTCCTCCCACTTTCTGTAGAAAAAAAAAAAGTGTAAATGAAAACCAGCCGCTCCCAGTGCAGTTTGGTCTGGAACACTGTCCTGAAGGTGATGTCAGAACAGAACGGGGGCTCTCTCCTCATCCGCTCTGGTTGCGCTTATCCCAGGTTGCATTTTCTCTGCGTCAGCAAACAAGGCGATCGCATATCAATGCAATATGGGATAATATCCTGTCAAAAGCAAGTCAGTAAGATACATTTGTACAGTATGCTTTAAACTGTTCCGTTTAAATATTCGCAAAGCTATTGTAAACGCAGACGTGTTGAGTTTTATTTTTTGCAGTAACTCGTTTTCCAGTTTACAATGCGAACTCACTAAACAGTGATACATCACTGTGGCTATTATTTATGGTCTTTCAAAACATGCATGGAGTTAATCAGTCAATAATTAAACACCACTACACTATATCTGATGTTTTTTTTTCCATATTAGGCTTATACATGTCTAATCAGAGGCATCATTATGCATTAGAGGGAGAAGCGTTGCAGACCATATACTGTACTGTACCACAGCCAAGAGGTGCTGCCACTACTGTGGTACTGTAGTTGGCACTATAGTGAGTTAAGTGAATATCAGAACACAACAAATATTTTTTAAGCCACACCTTTACCTAACAGTTTGTAGATGCCATTGAAACTTTTAGAAACACTTACTGTACATGACTTATAAAATAAACTTATTAGGAACTTGTTTTTTATACAGTTTAGGTGCACAAATCCATATCTAAAATACATGCTAGAATGCAGCAGGTTTTCGAATTCTCTTTAAATTTTCAACAGCTGCAACCTTTTGAAAGGTGTTAAGTAATCACAGTTATCTAATGATCAGATAAAGTCATTTGGAGTACAGTAAGCATTATTTAGGAGTAGAATAAAAATCTCCACTCACTGCAGCAAACCAGGACTGGAATGTTGCACCACTGATACAGTTTAATGCTGTGAAGATCTTAAAAATATGCCATCGGATTATTTACTTATGTAGAATTAACACAAAGAAAACTGAAGGATGACACCAAGGATACATTTTGTGCTTTAAATCTCCAGCACCTTCCAGCATCTTTTCTACAGATCCTAATAGGTTATACTCACCATTTCCATCACCCAATGCCCTTGGAGGCAGAAGTCAAGGCGAAAACTGCTTTTCCTCTGTACAGGCCACATTTTTGGCATCTTCCAAGTTTCCTAATTTTCACTCACTTTAGGTGTCCAGGTGTTCTACTTTCTGAAAGTAAAGACCAACTAGCAAAATTATACAATGCAGAATTTTCAAGGGCAGTTTCTTTGGCACTTTGGCACTTTGGCAATTCATGCTACTGTATTAACCAGCACATTTAAAGTGAGATATGGTTTAAAAGGAAAATCAAATTAATCCACAAAATCATCTATGAATTGTATAGTGGGGGGGGGGTCTCAAATAAATATAATGAATGCCAGATTTTTATGATTACATTAGGTACTGTAGGAAGAATAGATTTGTGTAACTGGAGCTTTAAGAACTGTTGCCCTGATGAGTAAATTTGTTAAATACAGTAAATCAATGAAAATTGAAATTAGGTCCAAATTTCATAAAACATTTTTAATTCAGGTCAAATCAAAATAAACCCCACCTATCCAAAAGCAGTACAAACAGTTTTGGCCATAGAAGCAAAAGGCTTTTACTGTCTTGTGCTTTTTCATTTATAAATAAGGTTTGCTATCGCAGTAATTACCACAACAGAAGACAATACCATCAAAAAAACGTCTTCCCTCATTTGCATACACTGGAAAAAATGTGCAGAGGTGGTCATCAGATTAATCTAGCCTACGTTTTCATCTCCAGAAGTGACTGTAATATGGTGGTGAAAGGCTCTCTGATAAAAGGACATTGTTACTGTATGTTTCAGCATCCTATTTTTTCTATTCTTTTTTTAAATTTCTGACCATTTTGTCTTATCACATGAAGTTTTGTCTAGGTGTATTTAATACTGGTATCCTGGTTTCTTTCAATAATCAGCTGGATGAGATCTCAGATAATTTAGCTTTTAAGAAGCTAAGTGGAGAAGCTTAGTTGTAATATTTCTTACATTCTTAAGTTCCAATTAATATTTTAAATATTTGGAAAGAAACACCAAAATAAAACAGTTCTTTTTGCAATAAAATGGAAGTGTGAACCTTTGCTTAAGAAATATACGGTTCCATTTCTGAAATGATCGTGATCGGGGTGCATTATGGCATTACTGAAATGTGTCATTAGATACTTCTGATTTTGTTTCGCACATACAGTACTTTTACTTGTCAGTACTGTGACAAAAATATGAAGAGAGATGCAATTTCTTAAGTTTTTCAAATCATGTTCAATTCTTCATCATGGGATTGATGTTCTAAATCTATTCTTTCTCCTTTAGATACTTCATGTGTTTTCCACAAAACCTTTTCTTAAAATAATCATTTATTTTGTAAAGAAATGTACTTTTGTAGCCCTTCTTTTCATAGTCATTTTGATTCCATAGCCAACAGAACAGCACACTGCAACATCAACTTGGACCTCAGACTTGGACACTTTTCTTTGATTTAATTTTATTTGCTGACTTCTGTTGGTTGCTTGACAGTAAAGTTATTCATTCTAATTCTGGCTTTTTGAATAAGGAAAAAAGCTGTCAAAGAAAAAAGCTGTTTTCTCAGGGTGAACTGGATATACCATCTTTTTTTATAAATAACGCCCTGTTTGTATAAACCAAGCTGAAGTACATCATGGAGAGATTGCCCTAACTCAAGTGGCGTGACGAGTGAATGGATATTTGCTTTGGTATTTCACATCTTCCTACTTTAAGGTTTAACACATCTTTTTGTACTCAGCTTCTGATTACTGTAGGTGATTGAATGTGAAATCTGTTTGAACAATAGAGAAACTATAAATGCATTATAAAGCTGACTTCTTTAGCAAGTAACAGATATCCTTGCTCCCTTGTTCTTACATCTGAAAGATACTGATGAAAAGATATTTGCATTTTATAAATTGTCTTGCATTCATCAATTAAACCAAGCTTAATAAACAGCCTTCTCTCCCATCAGTTAAATCTTTATGGTTTAGAGAGCATTGCATACACAGTTTGGAAAGATCTGAAGTACTGTATTTAAACTCTTACACTGTTCAGTTTACCTCAGAATGTTTTTAAGGGTGTAATTTGGAAAATCATAATGACCTTTGTGGAATCTATGAATCAAATATTGTTCTGCATTTTGTTTCTGCCACTTACACAAATGCAGTTAGCCTCAATAAACTCTGTACCTTGGAACTTCTTAAACGCTAGTCTGGCCTGCTGTGTAATGGAGCTGCTGGCACATAGCAGCTCTCATGCATCTCCTAATATGGAGCAACAGTGGTGGTTGAAATGGGTCCTCCCCTGTACATAAAGAGATTTGCAATCCCTCTGGATGAAAAGTTCCATATTAAAGTGAGGGAATAAATACATTAAAAAATGTAATGCCCATTTATTATGTGCCCTCTTCTTACAATTCAACATATTTTAAGTAAAAATAAGAAAAGAAACAAAGTTCTTTGTTTGCTAACTCTCTCAAGGTGGAAAGGAAATGGCAATTTGCGCTTTCACAGAGATGAAGGGAGACACACTTTAGATATTAAATACACAGACACTACACAGGGAATATAAACAATTCAGTTGGATAAATAAGCAGAATCCTACAAAGAAATCAAATTGAATAACAGCAAGTGGGGCAAACTAGTGTCTGACGACCAAAGAGGCCATTGCCATCGTCCCTCTTTTTTCAAACATTGATTAAACGTGGCTCCACTTGTCCCAGTAATGACTAAAAATTGGATTAACAAAACTGCTTTCTGTCAGTAATCCCAACTTGACTAAGAGCAGGAGAGTTTGCTAAACAATTTACACCGAACCAGTGTTAAACAGCAGGAAGATGAAATCTGGTTGTTTACACAGCAAAGCATTTTTTTTCTAGGCTTCTGTGTCTTTTTCTGTGCTTTCTGTGTCTTTACTTATCCATTAGACTGTTTAATTCATATTTTATACATGGGCCAAACTACAGTCTTGCATGTAGACTGCAAATTCTCTTTAGTAGATTATTTTCTTGATTTTTATACTCCTTTCCCCCTTCTTATTCTGTCTTATTCTCAGTTTCTTTTTGTGTGCCAAACTTCTGGTTTCTGTTCATGCTGTATACCCCTTTACAAAGATAAACTTCTAATGCAGCGGGAAAGCATTGTATCCACAGACATTCTTTTCTCCAGCTGGGATATATCAGAAATGACACGGAAAGGCCAGAGGTCATGCATCGAAATACCGCATGGGGGCTAGGTTCAAAGGATTTATGGATTCTCCCGGCAACTGCATAGAGCATTGTGTCTAATTTGTCCTGAAGATAAAGATGCAGACCCAGCATTTGTATATTGAACTCTAAGTGAAAGAGTAAGAAATATTTAGTTGTACAAAGGGAACAAAATTGCTTAGTAGCATCAAACATCCTCCCCAACATATGCATCATGACATGTTGTTTCTACTGTGCTGTAAACAAAAGCATATACAACACAGGAGAGCTTTCTTGTAATAAATAAGCAGAATCCTGCAATCCTTGTCAGGAGTAAGAGTAAGACATTATTTGGAGACAATGGGTGCACTCAGAATAATCCCTCCAGTCCCAGTTGTGTTCAGCAAGTTGTCTGAGATTCCACTGGTGCTAACTCCCACTGTTTGCTGAACTTGAACAAGCATTTTTTGGACCTGGGGTGGCCATGGATTTTCCTTTAGAGTTGCAAGATCTGTTGGTTGTCATATATCAAAGCTCTTAATAAATTAACTCACCCAGTGGCCAGACTGTAATAGCCAAAATTACCATTCGCTCTAGGTATTAGCAGTTGAAGATTCAGAGAAACCTAAAGTATAAAAGATGTCCAGGAAAAGGTCACTCTTGGATCTATCCTGAATTCTAGGCTTTTATTGGATGAAACACCTCAGAGAATGACCTGCATCAAACACTGGTTAGTTAAATGGGAAATAAACATATGGTATAGGGAGAAGATATACACCA